CCCAAAGATTCTCGAAAGCATAATTTGAGCGGAGAGCTCGGATCGAATATTGCCGTGCTAAGACCGTTCCTCCAACCGGTGAGTGAAGTCCTGACCGTCATTGTTGCTCTCTCAACACATCTCTCAGGCAATGAGCCCGCAAGGTCAACTAGCCTGCTTGAAGTTGACACGCACTTTTGGCCCTTGTTCGGGACCTATGGAATGACCGTAATCAGTCAGGTGTAATAAACCTTCAATACGTATTCCTTGCATGGTTGGTAAGGTACCTGAGGAGTCGGCTGACTTCTTCTTTGCTGTAAAATTCAACAAGAAGAGCCTCGTGTATCCATTTTTTGGCATATAAGGGTTTGAATCAATGTTGAATGAATGCATTCAGAAATCACTCCGGCGGTACTCTCTCAACTACCATTTCTTCGGGCATGTATCAAGGAGACTTTCCGACTGTTCCCCATCGGCACAGAAATCTCACGCATTCCCCAGAAGGATCTCACTCTCAGCGGCTATCACATTCCAGCTGGCACACCTGTCGATATTAACACAAACGTGTTGATGAGGTAGGATTTTTGAATAACATTTATTTTCAGTTGACTAGGTTTCAGATTCGTGAATTAAGCGACTGGATAAAGGCTCCTCCTCTTACCCTAATAGAAAGAGGAAAGTTGTTGGACAAGCGCTATGGCCTATCATTGAAGAAAGCACTACTGTAGCAATACCCCTCCTCCATTATCTGTCCGAGAATTTTTTTGGGAATGGCGGCGAACTTAGTTGTAGGATGTGAAAGATTCAGTCTAATCAGTGTCGCCCACTGCCCTCTCCCGGATAACATTGCGATTCTAGATGTTTTGAAATTTATTAAGTTCTTGCTACTGATTATAAGAGGAAATCGTGCGAAAACTGATTAGCGACGCAAGCTGGGCCAGTTCTCCCTGGGTTACTGACCCGTGGGCAACAACTGCTGAAGCAGAGGTCCACTATGTTCCGCACCTTTTATTCCTAATGAGAGATTAAGGGTGCTTAATCCTAATGTATGTGGTAGACCTTAAGAGCAATTGCTTGAACCTTGCGTGAAATGGGAACTTGGATGAAATTTTGGACGAGTTTCTACCGCAGAAATGGGTTAGAAGCATTAATCTAGTTGCAGCGTATAGATCAAGCATGTATTTTCAAATAGCTGACGCTACTATCATTCTTCTCGTTGAACTTACTGTTAATCCAGTAGTAGTACCCTCACCGTTGATGTTAGTACAGGATTGTGACAGCAGTGTCCATACCATGGAGAGGGCATGTCCTCCGACATGGTTGTGGGCATGGCGACGGTGAACAGTTACCGGTTCGAGCAGAGCGGATACAGGGAGTACGGTAGCACGTTTTCCTGTCGCTTGCTCGTTCTCCTGCCGCTTGCTGTTTCTTATATTCATGCTGCTAAATTTGTCTGAACCAGCACATATCCGTCGCTGCTGCGCTCTTAACCATTAGACTCGCCCTTTCCGAGGGCTGTGATCTGAACTGTACATTTACCTCCTAGCTCTTCAGATCACCGGTGTTATTCACGGATCCGCTTTCATTCCAACCGAAAAGATGGCTTCGTGATGGGCCTGGTCAACGACAGCAGGATTTCCACCCATTTGCCTTTCTTCCGTTCGGTTTCGGACCGCGTATGTGTGCAGGTTTGTTCCAGTTGATATTTATAGTCATGATCCTTGCAAGCGATAGGGCGCGTGAAGCTGGGAGTTGGAGCGCAGCCAGATCAGCCTTTTCCGCCAATCGCTGCGGACTCAGGATGGCTTCATTGGTGGGCAGCGTTTCAAATCACATCCTGTTACAGACCCTATCGTTTGCACAGATCATGAGTGCACCTCTGGTGATGAAATATTCATTGAATAGACATGCCGTCTCGCTAATGACCAGCACACTTTCTTTCAGGACGTCGTTTTGCTGAACAGGATCTGCAGGTTGTACTGTGTCGGTTGGTGCAGAACTATCAAATCGCTCATCATCATGAGCCGATCAAACAGATTTATGAGACACTTCTTCTGCCCCAGGGCTCTTGTGACTTCCGATTCGAACCTCTGTAATCTCTTCGCTTTCCTTTCTGCCCTTCTTTCTACGCTGTTCTCACTTATCTTTTTTTTCTATCTGACATCAAATTATAATAAATTTACAGGGAAAAGATGGCATGATTTGAGAAGCTGACTTTTTTCAATTTCTTGAAAAGGTTACATTTATAAACCCAACGCTTGAGTTTCAGATCTCCAACGAAAAAGTAGTGGTATACAAGTAACTGGCAGTCGTGATGGAAGTCACAAATAGGCAACATTACTCAGAGACAGTAGGTGCTTTGGCAGGGAGGAGGAGTGCCAGCGTCAGCGTCATTGACGAAACAGGGTACAGCATCGTGATGTGTGGAATGGTGGTGTCAGACGACCCCCCCCCCAATTCCCTCCTCTGACACAACCCCGGTGCCCATGATAAGATTCTCCCAAAGATGCTGTATCCTGTGTCCAAAGCACACTGGGTGTTGTATCCAACTCTTTCAAATCCGCCTCCAAATCAGCGCATCCGTTCATGAGGAATACCATCCTACTACACAGGGGGGGGGGGCAAAAAAATCGACCGAGTCACATATCAGCAAAGTTTTTGCAGCCCAGAGAGAAGATGTGGATACGAGTACCAGGGCGGAAGATACCCAAGATGTTCCTCGATAAGCAGGAGCTGGCCCTCGCCCACCTTCATGTACACCAAAATATGAAGTCATCTCCAGTCGCAGCCTGACTGGAGAAGACCTTTGGAATTCATGTCACCTCCAAACAGCTGCGAAACTTCTAGTGTGGAGTCACCCATGGATAGCTACCTGGAGACCAGTACTCTCAATCTGGAAGACCTCCAACATCGAGCAGCTCCGACAACGTCGCTACGGTCTAGGACATCATCTTCACCGCAGTCGTCAAGGAGCGGGTTGATGGTATGGACCGGAGGTACCTGGAATGGAAAGACCAATATTTTCTTCGTGACCCCGGACTGAAGGTGAGCGCTGGCGGTTACATTGAGCAACTCGTGAAGAATATCCTCCTCACATGTCGTCGCCCGTACCTTCTTGGAAACTTTGTACTGCTACAGCATTGGGTGCCACCACATGGAATCGAAGGGCGTTGGAGAAACTCTCGCCTACTTGGAATGGAAGGGGGCTGAGTACCTAAAGAAGATGGAATATCCAAGTAGGTCACCTGACCTGAATCCCCTCAATTACCCGGTTCGGGCGGAGTTCAAGGTGGTCTACGGTGGCGGAGAATCCGACTATCTCGCTGATCTCAGGCTCCCGTAACGGTACGAAGTTTCCAAGATGGTACAGGCGATGACATGAAGGCAGGATATTCTCCTCGAGTTGGTCGATGTAACCGTCAGCGTTCACTTTCAGTCCGGGGTCCACGAAGAAAATATCGGTCTTCCCATTCCAAGAACTTCCGGTCCATACCAGGTGGAGGTCTTCCAGATCAAGAGTACTGGTCTCCAGGTAGCTATCCATGGGTGACTCCATACTAAGAAGTTTCGCAGCTGTTTGGAGGTGACGTGAATTCCAAAGGCCTTCTCCAGTCAGGCTGCGATTGGAGATGACTTCATATTTTGGTGTACATGAAGGTGATGGGCGAGAGCCAGCTCCTGCTTATCGAGGAACATCTTGGGTATCTTCCGCCCTGGACTCGTATCCACGTCTTCTATCTGGGCTGCAAAAACTTTGCTGATATGTGACTCGGCCGAAATATTTTTTGCCCGCCCCCCTCCCCCCCCTACAACACTCCTTTCCCAGTGATGGTCGACACACCCACAATAGGCAGGGCGTGCTAAAGATGGGGGATGTCTCCCCAAAAGTTTCGAAAACAGGTGGGTTTCAGAAGAGCCGGGGGAGCGGAAAAAGTGGGCAAACGAGAGGAACTGGGCCGGCAGACAGGAGAGTTGGCTGCGATGGGCGTTGCTTCCTCTACCAACCGGCAAACTACTACTTCCTCCTCTAGTTACATCCGAATTAGTTGTGGTGATTCAAGTGGTTTTGAGCCAAGAACGATCGCGATTAAAAAATAAGAGTATGGAGAAGCCTTTACATAGTCAAATCGCCCCTCTTACGATTTCGGGAATCGTCGGGCATAAAAGAACATCTGAATCGGCTTCCCTCATCAGACCACACCATCGTGATGTGAAATTTTGAGGTAAACATGACCGCCCTTGTTTCCTTCTTCGATACGGCCCCACCGCAAACACTCTGAAAACCCCGTGGAGCGCGAGGGGAGGTGTGTGAGAGGAGGTGAACACTTTCAACCAGTTACTAAAAACGAATCACTGGCTTTAAAGCGACTAGAGAGGTCCAAAGCGTGGGAAAATTACCAGCCAAGAAAAGGTCTGAGAAAAGTTGGCATTGTTTTGTAAGGCCTAAACCGCCATCAAAGCCATTGATGTGGTCGTCGGGTGATCACGAACAGAACTTGACAGAATCTATTAGATGAGGTGAAACTTCAAAATATGGACCCAAGCGCTTGTGGTGTTTCAGTGATCATCACCACTTGAGTTAGGTGCTTACTGTTCAAAATTCAATGTCGTGTTGTTGTTGTGTTCCCCTACAAGGCGTACGCCAAGTTCCAGATGAGTCGTGGAAAATTACGATGCCTCTTATCTGATCATAAAGCGAAGTGCGCGTAAAATGGGCGCATCACACCATTTTCGGCAGACAACTTTACAATCATTTCACTGGACTGATTTTAAGAGTAATGAGAAAAGTTGTGCACAGCTATTTGATTTCATTGGAAATTGAAGAAAAAAAGCAGCGAGATGCCCCTCCTGTGTTTTCCAGTCAAGAGTTCCATTAAAATACTGCAGCGAAAGTTATTGGATATATGTGGGGCTTCTTTAGTCGGCCAATCGAGCGACTGGGAAGAAGTGAGAGACTGAATGATATAATGCTCTCAAACAAAGACAGAGGTTCCGTATGCCAAGACAAAGTTTCCTATCGCCAATTTCAAATTGGGGATTGCTTAGTCACCAATGCCGAGGGGGGAAGTGAGCTTGCGCTCATCAGAGCCGCCCAGCAATTCATGAATTGGATCCCCAACCTGCGGAGTCTTCAGTCTCTATGCTTGTTGAATAGAGCTCCACTCGCACTTGACCCATCTAGCCCAGTGAAACGTTGGAACGAGAGCCAGCTGACCCCGTGTTCAGTTCTCTAAACGTCAACTGTTTAGGCTCAATTTTTTTCCATGCTTGATAGGGACAGACATTTGAATCGAAAATAAAGTGCTATAAAAGCATCCGCGTATTGTCATCCAGATTTACAGTCCCACTCCTATGCGCTATCGTCACCCCTGTCCGGCTTATTTTGATCACTCAGGAGCTGCGCCGCGTTCGAATTTAAATCGTAGTGGGGCTTGAGTGTGGCATGTAGTCACAACTAGTCGGGGCATTAACAGGATACACAGACCAGGGTACAGCATGGGGATGGCCGAAAAGCACGACCCCTCCTCCGACTCCACGGTCGCTGTATGAATGCAGGGTCATTTCATAACGCTCGTTTAAGTGAATGACTCCCCCCCCCCACCCATCCACCCCTCCTATGAGGCAACTAGCGCCTGGTAGGCTTAAGGGTCAGAGAACATGAATTTCACTACTCATCCATGGACGGAGCAGACATTGCATTCGAATATGGTGTTACTCGTGGGATATTTCTATTTGAGACAACTGTCATCTTGTTCAGTGTTAGGCAGAGACACAACCACAATTGTGTCAAAATGAAAGTATCTCACCAAAAGC